TGGTGAACATTACCACCTTCCTTTATTTGAGATATAGACGATTTAACAACCAGCAGACATCAGCTTACGCCATCTCCAGATCCTAATTAACTTATGTAACTTTAATCAGACTCTGATCTTGATCAAATTAGGCCACATTTGGTATTCCTTATTTGATTTATCTTTTTATTGTTAAAATGTCTCTCTAAATATTAAGTTTTTAACTATAAAAAGGAGATAAATCCTTAAAATAAGAAATGCCAGATACAGCTTAAAACATATTAGATCCACTTAAAATTTCAAATTAGGCTGCGAGATACAAAGAATTAATGAAATAAAAAAAATGTTTTTAGCATTTTGGAAAGGGTCGGTTTTGAAAACGATATATATATTGGTATAAACCCAAAACTTTGTGCCTTGGGTCTTTAAAAGGATATAATATATCGTGAAACTCTTCCAAGGGCAATATTTAGTAATATTATGGACCTATTCACTTTTCGGTAAGTTACTTAGCAGGGTAAATGCAATTACCTGTGTAAGTTTTTCTTGAGAAATACTTACCCGAATAAGTGTATTTATCCGTGTTCTTTTATTTCCTAGGTAAATAAGGCAATGACCATTTTAGCCATATAAATTCATTATTAAAAGGGGCATTTTTGTCCCATTTAAGTATTGGTAACTTTCCCCTTATGTGAGAAAGTTATTTACCCATCTAGGAGATGGATATCACTTTCCGAGGTAAGTGTTACCTAGGAAAATAAACTTTCCTTGGTCCCCAAATAAAGTTGAAAAAAGAACATGGGATTCTTGGTCAATGGGAACCAAAATCCCATTGACCAACTTTCCCCCTTCTCAAAATCCAAAAAAAGAACACCCCCTAAAAGTAATTGGAGATGTTGAATAAGAAAAGGTGGAAAGAACTTATCGAGGTGCCAACTAGCTCGATTGGTGAGGCTCAAAAATCAGCTACTACCATTGAAGTAGATCTGGAATCACAACCCTTTGATGTATATCAGGCGATGTCACTTTGGATGAAGTGAGAGAAGGTCTACAAGCCTACAACAATGTATTCAAGCTAAGTTAAAATTTCACAGCTTTTAACCTAACACTATTCCAATGTGTGGTTGATTTTTCCTTGTTGATATGGTATTTGGCTAGGATCAAATCTCGCCTTCACCAAGGTTACATGGGTTATTCATGATTATGCATGATCTGGCGTTCTCTGTTGATAGACAACTTGGATGCTTAACTAAGTAGGTCACCTAGTTGAGTTGCAACGAAAGAGATTAGAGTGTATGGGTTGCTTTACTTGGGATGGACTCTCTAATGCTTAAGTGAGCGATGAGTTTTGGGAGAGCTAAAAAGTGAAAGAGCTAGAGAGTTGTGAATGTTAAATCACGCCTACCTTTTCTAAGGAAGGGAATGCCTTTATATAGGCTAACTGTCGTGAGCTTCATGAAGCGCGTCCGAGATCTTTGGCCCATCTGATTCGGAGGCGGTTTCATGCAAATAGATGGATTCCGCATAAGCAATAAGTGCTTATCCGATCGCCCTCGAAGCGGGTGGGGCAATAGTTAACTCATTCGATAGGGTGACGTGATCCTGGAGGATTCGGAGACGAAAGCCCACTCATGATGGGGGTCGATCACCACGTCCTACAGGTCACCAACTGCGCTTCAGCCAGGTCAACAAAGAGAGGTCCCCCCTCATGCTGAGGTCCCTAGCTCAATCTTGTGATAGCTGACCCAATCTTGCAATGGACGATTTGGTCTTGAGATTGCCGACCTGGTCTTGGGCCGAGGTGCCTACGTGATGTCGAGGTGTTAAGCAATCGTTCAGGGCCGCCACATGGCACAATGTCACTAGAGGGCCAAATCACCCCTCACCAATTGCCCCCACTCTCAAGTTGAGGTCGGTTCAATAAACGAAGTAGTTCATTGTAGGTCTCTATCCCAAAGTGACTTAGTTCAACTGCTTCGTTGGTGTTGGCCCGATTTGTTTGCCTGAGCTAGAAGCGTTTAAGGGCTGAACGTGGCATTGCGTAGCACATCGCCATCTTGATCATTGGGGCACATGAGCGAACTCGTCATCATGAGGAGGCCGAGTAGACACTCCAAGGACATCCATCGATATAGGGATATAGTCATCGAGGAGTTCGGTTGTTCACCGGAGCACCTTAAAAGCGAAGTTCGTCATGCCCACCCTCAAGGAGGGCTTCAAACTATGCCCCTACTTCCTCAGGTCACTCCACTCACAAGCTTCTACAGGCTTCTACTTAGTGTGTCTTAAGCCGGTCCTCGAGGGGGTGACCGACATGGTCGACGCGGAGCCCAAAACTGAGGTGGAGGATAGCGGAGAGGGCAACGAGAATGATGCTGACGAAGGTGTTGTTGATGAGGACGAGGACGATGTTACATGTTTGCTCGAGTTGAGGTGCGCTAAGCGCAGGTTAGCCATATGTCGTCGTCGTGTTTCAAATAGGTTGGCTTAAGGGAGCTTTAATGCTAAACGCGGTTTGGCTTCCCATTCGTAGATTTTTTCCGAAGTACGTGTATCACGAGTCAGCTCATACGAGTCACCAAAGCTGGTCTTAGTTAGGTTGCCGAAATTTTAACAAGCCAATTCATTCTTAGCACTTCGGCCTACAGACACTTTGTCACCACGGTAAAGGTGACCTGCGAGGGTGGCTCCATAGTCTGTTGGTCGTTAACTCCCACGAGAACCATGGAGTTCTCGACCTGCGGTGGCAACTCCACTCTTTGTTGGCCATCAACTCCCATGGGAACCATGGAGGGCTCAACTTGTAGGGGCAACCACAAAGTTTGTTGGCCATGAACTCTCATAGGGAGCATAGAAGGCTCGACCCGTGGGGGCAACCTCGTAGTTAGGGTTGGGAGATTCTGTCCGGGTGAAACCGTATAAACTTGTCCATCTTGATCATTCTAATTTTAACCCCTACCGGGGTTCCTTCAATCCAGGCGTACAAGCGGACAGATCGGATGCCATACTAAGTAAGTTGCTTGGTAAGAATGTCGGGGTTGCTTTACCCGGGGTGGGAACTCCGATATTTAAGTAAGTGAACTGATAATGTGACTGCATGAACGTGAGAGAGCTAGAGTGTGTGAGAGCTAAATCGTGCGTACCTTTTTTGAGGAAGGGGATGCCTTTATATAGGATAACTGCCATGAGCTCAACGAAGCACATCTGACATCTTAGGCCCATTCGATTCAAAGGCGGTTTCAGGCCTGTAAGTGGAAAGTGCTTATTTGGTCGCGCCCAAAGTGGTCAGGGCGGTAGTTAGCTCCATCGACGGGGCAGCGTGATCCCAGAGGAATTGGATACGATAGCCCACTCATGATAGGGGTTGGCCACTACGTCCTACAAGTCACCAACTGCGCTTCAACCTGGTCAACGGAGAGAGGTTGTCCCTCATGCTAAGGTCCCTAGCTCATTCCTGCGATGGGCGACCTGGTCCTAAGATTGCCGACATGGTCTTAGGCCAAGGTGCCTACGTGATACCAAGGTGTTAAGCAATGGTTCATGGCCGCCACTAGCATAATGTTACTGGAGCACCAAATCATTCCTCATCAATTCCCTTTTGTAGCCTCATACTAGCTACTAGGGCCGGAAATTTAAATTTAAAGATCTAATTCAATTTGATAAACATTTGATGTATTTTTCTATTATTCTTAAGCTTAAGGATGGGTTGGAGTGTATAAGGAGGTATGCACATGTCTTGTTTACTTTTTTTAGCAATATTAGTAAGTGGTGAGAGCCGACGATAGTGGGGTTGGAAACTGCATCTCTCCTAGGACTACCTAGTTTATATGTAAATTGAGTCACTGCTCAGTTGGCTTCTCTCTTTCTTTCTTTTGATAATGGCTAATTATATATTTGAATATACTTAATCAATTGAATTTGAATTCAAATTCGAATATTGATTGATTTGATTTGAATTTGATCCATTTAGACCCCACATGATGCCAAAACGATCTCTATACAAATTCGGTTTATATTGCCTCAATTTCTATGGTTTTGAAGGATAAGATGTCAAATGAATTTTGGTCGATCATAATCCACTGTGAAATTTGATAGAACACAAGTTGATTGATTACCATTTCTCGGAATCATAATCGGGCTCGTTGTAATTAAAAATTTAGAAGTTGCCAAAATAGTAATTTTTAATAGTGAAATATCAAGTGTTGATACATGCCCTCACTGTTTTGCTTGTTAATGGTTTCAAAAATTAATCAAAACCGTTTGGTTTGAAAACAGATTGTTTCTTAAAACGAAAACGCAAAAAAAAATATGTTCTTTGGTATTAGGGTAATCAAGAAATATTGAAAAACCGAAAAATGAACCAAATTTATTGTTCGGTATTTTCGAGAAACTAGGTATATATATTCATGTATATTATATTTATTTTTCACATATTTTACATTTTCTATATATTTAAATGAATATGTATGCATTGTAAAAACAAATATATATATATATATATATATATATATATTATTTAGAATATAATAATTTATATGTATTTCTATTTTTATTATATATTTATATATTTATTTATAATATATTTTATAAAATCCAAAAAATAGAAAAATCGATGATTAGCTGAATCAATCAACTTATTAACCTATCAGCTTCAGTTTAGTTTCAGTTAACGGTTTTTCAAAAACAGATTATACTGATTCAGTTTGGAAATTAGACCCACAGTTCGGTGAGCACTCCTTCTCGGGAGTCGGGTGTATTGTGTGGTTTCTGTTTACAAAACTGAAATCCAAACGTGTTCTTGAATATGATTTTTAAAATCCATTATCTTCCATGGTTTTTAAAACAAAACGAACTTATTTTTCTATTTCAAAACATAAACATTCAGAATATGTTTTTGTTTGTTTTTTATGACGTAGCGATTCAAAAACAAACGAAAACAAAAACATTCATATGGCATAACGCTCCCTTCGTGTTTTCACGAGTCTCAACAATCAGCTACTCCCGTTGGAGTATCCCTGGGCTAAAACCGTGAATCACGGCCCTGGATGTATTGATGCAGCCCTACCTTGAACATGATGGAGTGACGTAAGGTGGGACCGTAATCGAAGGCCATGATTTCACCGTTTTAACCAAGCGCAACTGTAACGGGTGTAGCTGATTTCTCCTCATTCACGAGTGTATGTACACGAAAGTATATGAGTCACGATTCACGGCGTGGAATTTAAGTCCAACGACTTCGTCGTAGAGGAGGACTCCTTGGTTCTTGCTTCCACCCGCGCGCGCGTATGTAGTAGCAAATCATAAGTCATAACAGATTGCCTAAGAGTTAGAAACCTTTCACTCCATCCCAAATTTCCAATCTCTTCGTGTAAGGCCGTAAGCTTGGACTATCTTTAATGGCAACGACAACGGCCAAGATAACTCCCGTCGATCCCAACTCTAGCCGAGTGTGTTTCTCCTTCGCTGCGTACGCCAAGAACTTAATAGATCATCTAAAACTATGCAGGATTCCAGTAACCGAAGGCCTCACCGACGATGAGTTCTCTTCCATTGAGACTTCCTTTGGCTTCATCTTCCCTCCTGATCTCCGTTCCATTCTTCGTGAAGGATTGCCGGTCGGTCCTGGGTTTCCCAACTGGCGATTGTCGTCTCCTCAGCAGCTCCAGATTCTCATCAATCTCCCCATCTTGGGAATCTGCAAAGAAATCTCTAAAGGGACTTTCTGGTGCCAATCCTGGGGTGACGAGCCTGATTACCCTAACGAAGCCCTATCCCTTGCCAAACAGATCATGCGGAAAGCTCCCATTCTTGTCCCGATTTATAGACACTACTATATTCCTTCTATGCCCAACATGGCCGGAAATCCGGTCTTCTTCATTCAAGGCGGATATTTCCGGTGCTCTGGTTTCGACGTCGCCGGATTCTTTCAGCAAGTCGAAATCAGGCAAAAGGACTGTGTTTACCGGTCATTGAATTCATCCCCAGCTTGGGCAGCAAAGGCGGCGAGGAGGATCGAGTTCTGGTCTGATTTAGTGGAGAATGTCACGTGCAGTAAGAGAGATAACACGTGCAGATGGCGGAGAGGAGTGCCATACAGAATTTTCAAGGAGGTAAGTTCGAGACTGCGAGAGGGCGGGTGGACGGAGGAGGAGGTAAGAGATATGATGATGACGACGGAGGGAGATGATGGGAAGGAGGGAGGGTCGTCATTTCTGAAAGACAGACATAGCTTGGAGCTGCACCTGCGGTTGCTATCTTTTACCTTGCTTCGAGCCGGGTGGAGGATTCACGACGTGGTCTACTCTCTTGGGTTCCATGAAGGCGGCATTCTGGATGCGGACTCTTGCTTGGACGTTCTAATCACTAAAGCTAAACAGCAATTATCATGACGGTCCCTAAGTAAAAAAGATAGGAGGAAGAATTTCCTTCGTTAAGAGAATTGCAGGTGCAGGTTCACCTGACAGTGCTGGATCGACACGTGTATATGTTTGGTTCTTACGCTTGAATGGGTTGGATCTTCGCAAACAGACAAGCATCAATTCTCAACCCTCAACCATGGATTCACGGGTCTCCAGTTTCCACAGTGCAATGACCATCCAGTTGTCCAGAAAATTCTAATTACCCGTCCAAACTTGTCAAGCAAGGGCCAATAAGTCTAATTCTGTGGGTCCTGCATCCTTAGTTCTTTTTAATTTTTCTTTATTAATTTATGATGAAGAAAATCAGTTGTCAAAATAACCTTATTTCCCAGTCTCAACTTCCAACCATTTCTTTTGACACGGCATTTACTCAATATATAGTCCTTCTAGAACGGAGTATTATTTTCTTTTTTCAATGCCTAAGGTTGGCCCGGAAAAAAATGCTGTTAATTATTTACAGTTTTCATGTCACTATCATCACATTTAACAAATTAATTGGGAGAATATATTTAATTAGGTGAAAATAAAGTGTGGTAGATTAACATAATTTTTTTTTGATAAATAAGGCCTATGGTCATATTTTATGCTTCATTCATAGCCGTTTGATGATTTATTTAACAAGACAAAGATCCACTGGTTGCATTTGGTTGTTGAACTTGGAAGAGAGTGGAACAAAATGAAGCTGGACTGTACTGTTGCATAATTCACAAGTAGCGACAAATAAGACAAGAATGCTTTGACATGTGAGTCCTAAATTTATATAGAAGATTTCTTGTGTTCCCACAGGCCTTAATTTATTTGTCTGCCTCCCTTTTCGCCTCTTTCCACAAGTTTTTATGATGGGTATGACCTTGTTCTTGTTTTTTTCTTTTTTTTTTTTTTATCAACTTGATAGGGTTGGAAGTGTTCGATCAAAACCATTTGCTTTGATCCACCTTGATACGACTAACTAATGATATATATGACAATGCTGTTATTGCAAAATTTTAATTTATATAAACCTGACCGAGAATCTGCAAGAGTGGATAATCAATATCTTGCATTCACAAACGCACACGCTGTGGTCCTCGTGTTTCATGCTGCTGTGGAGGGCCAGAAATTAATTGTTGAGCAAAGTTAGAATGGATTGATATATTCGGTTTTCTTTGATGAGTAATCAGTCGTATAACACCATCTATATGATGGTGGTGGTGACTATTGGCTCAAGCGTACTATTGCCCCAACCATGTAGTCTAGTCTCCATTCTCCAATTCATGGTCATCCAATTCCAATGGTAATCGAACATGTAAAAACGCCACAATTTTGGTGCCCAATAAAGAACAAAATTGATGCCTCAAAGGGAAGGTTTATCTGAAATCAAATCTTGTAGCAACGCCTAAATCCACCCAAACATCCAACTTGTTGTTATTAGGGCTGTCAGTGGGTCAAACAAACTCCATGGAACAAATCCAAACTGATTCAATATATGTCATATTGGCATATATATTACAAAAAAAAAAATAAACTGTCCATTTAATATATATCTTTTTCTTATGAGATATGCATATAATATTGTGATGTTTAAATGTAACAATTAAAAAATTTATCATCAATTTACATGTTGGAAGCATAACTATTACTTATAATTGGGTCTCATGTATATAAGTTTCATTAAAAATTGGGTCTAGTTCAGACAGGGTCTACCCAAACTGTATATTGGGAATATCTCTTCATGAATTATAATATGTTCTCAATGGGTGGCTGTATTGATGTGTGGGTAGGAAGATCCGGATTGTTATTTGTCGTAAAATTGAAGCCTTTCCCACTCACTGGCAGAGACTAGAGAGTTGACTAGTTTATGGATTTACTGCACTTTTTTGCCAGTCTGGATCTCCTGCGCATAAAACACCACAGCTGCACATCCGGAACATCTCCTGGTGAATGACAACATACACATACAGGAGATGTTTCTGATGTGCGCCTTTGGTGTCCTGTGGGTTGGAGATCTGAATACTTTTGTTTTTGCATTGCATTTGCAGTATACTTCCATTCAGTTTATTTGACGGATGTCCATTATATTTGTGGGATTCATATTGTAATTGAATGACAGTGCGACGCATGGTCGTTTAAATTACATGGTCAAAAACCTAAAATTGGAAATAAAACACTTCTCAAGGTCCTAAATATATGTCATTCAAGTACACTAACTATTCATAGGTTCGGCTAGTTAATTGCTTAGTTGGTCATGATTCAGAAATTAGCCTCAGAAGTCAGAAGCATGTATTGCCATTTGTATCTCATTTTCTCATATATTATTTTATATTTAGTTCACCTTCTGGGCATTACCGGGGTGAGGACAGAGCAGGGTGAACCTAAGGTCCATTGAACTTATCACGAAGAGTAGATCTACAGTTACACAGGTATGTCACCTTGTTATATTAGGGGAATACATATGCTGGTATTGGACTTGATGGCATTATCTGCCCTCAACCCTAACCTCAGAGCTGAGGTTGTATTTGGACCCTTACATTGGGTATTCATATGCTGGTATTTTGTATGCTAGCATAGAAATGATATATGTGTATGGACCCTTCCATTGGGTATATTTACTAATGGTTGTGTTTGGTTTGAAGTAAAAAGGTAGGAAAACTTATACAACCTTACCTTTTCCTTTAAATCAAATACACCCTAAGCGTTTATTTTATTAAAACTTTGATTGAACTGATTTTACTAAGCCTAATTCACATCCGAGCCCTGCATACACATCTCAACGTGTATCGGGAACATCTCTTATATTTGTCATTGGAAAATGTTCTCAATACACACAATCAGGATGTGTCGTGGGGTGTCCAGATGTGATCTCCACTAAGCTGCTATTGAAGAAGCTACTAGAGCAAGCTTTGCGGAAAAGCCAGTTTTTTTGCTGAATGACAACATAGCAAAACATAGCTTATAGTCTGTTTATATATGCAGGACCCACCTTGCGAATCCAAAAGCCACTGCGTGGAAGACCATAAGATGCCAGATGACAAACTATCACTCATCAATAGTATTTTTAAAATGCCAACTAATAGAAATATTTTGTCATTATCAAGATTAAGGGCATAAGATTCTCAAGGTCCAAACTTAGTATGTAATCTTATATATGGAAAGTAAAGATAATTATTAGCCATAAATTTAAATTTTAGACAGCTTTCAAGTTGAAAATTCCAAAGAATGAACCCCCCCCCTTAAATCTCCATGTTCCTCCCCTTACTTTGTTCCCACGTCTATCAATCTACTCCATTCATCTCTTATTGCTTTGAATATGATGAAGAAGACTAGCATGGGTCGTCAAAAAATCGAAATCAAGAGGATTGATCGGGAAGACTCTCGACAGGTGACCTTCTCTAAGCGCCGAAGCGGCCTCTTCAAGAAGGCAAGCGAGCTTTGCACCCTCTGCGGTGCTGAATCTGCTCTAATCGTTTTCTCTCCAGCTGGTAAGGCTTTCTCCTTTGGCCACCCGTCTGTTGACTCCATATTAGACAGATTCTTTACCCAAGATATCCCTCCTGAGGATAGTGATGGTGTCTCATCCTCGCTGCCTGAAGGCCATCGTGGAGGCATCATTTACGAGCTCAATCGACAATACACCGAGGCTTTCAACAAACTGGAAGCCGAAAAAAAGCGAGCACAGATGCTCAAACAAATTAGCAAACCAAACCAGATCCAATCCTGGTGGGAAGCGCCAATTGAGAATCTTAGCTTGCATGAGCTTGAGCAGCTAAAGCTGATAATGAAAGAGCTTAAACACAGTGTAGCCAAAAGAGGCAATGAGCTCTTGATGGATTCTTCCTCTCAGTCACCATTCTTGGCTTTTAACTCCTTATCAATGGTGGATCCTTTCGTACATGGCCATAAACCAAATGAGCGTAATACTCCTACCTTTCCTCATGGTCATGGTTATAGTTTACCAAATTGGAATAGTTCTTCATCTGTTGCCTTTGGGCTTGGTCTGCCCACTGTTCCCCATCGTCTTGGCTTACCATCCACAATTAATACTTCCAATAGTGTTTCCCATAGTTCTGGATTAATTGGGGATAATGTTTCTTTTATTCCCCACAATTTTGGTTTTGGGCATAGACTTTTCTGAATTATTGTACTTTCATATATGTTTGTGGCTTTGAGAAAGTACTTTGGATTTGAGTGTGGATTTATGATTTTGTTTTTTTGTTAACGGAATTATAGCTACTTCTCGATACCATTTTCAATTAATTTTTTCTTGTAGAAAATAACTTACATTCTTTTTGGTTCATACAGGAATGGAAATGAAAATTGGACTCACAGGAATGGGATTTCATTTCCAAGGGATAGGCAAGGAATGGTCATTCCCAGAAATAGAGGAATGCCATTCCAGCAGGAATAAAAATAGATTCCGATTCCACCCAATTAAACAATTAAAATCGGAATAACCCATTCCGATTCTGATTCTGGGCCCCTATTCTAATGAACCAAACGGGGCCTTACTATTGATAACATTTTATTTTGCTTGATTGGGAAGCAAGGCCCATTGGGGGCTTGGGGGCCATACCACAGAGCTTACAATTATTTAGGGCCAATCCCATGCCTGCTATATGGGAGTGATTCGAACTGACTATCTCAGTTATTGGGTCCAAAATGGGAAAGTGGAAATTGAAATTAGTTGATGCCAAAGACATTGCAAGTACAATGTTAGAAAGACAATGAAATTTTATTCAAATAACAATTAAGATGTTTTATACATGGCAATATATACAGAGCTTTGACCGATCAAAACCTAGTCGGGATCTCCTGCCCACAAGAACTTTTCCCACGTCTACCTATATAACTTCGTAATCACACATAGAGAATATCTCATCCTCTCATATGGTATTATACACGGGGAGATGTTCCCAATCCGTGGAGGTAATGTGTTGTGGGTAGACGTGGATAGAGTCTTTGGGCAGGAGGTCCAGAGCCATCAGAATCCCTCTTGTTAATTTTGAATAATACCAACTGATTGATTGCCACTTTTATGATAATGATTGATTAGATTTCTCAATTACATATATAAAGATCTAACATTTAATAAATGTCATATAAATGTTTAAGCCGCTGTTGGCTGATATAATTGCAAAATCTTGGACTGACAAGTATGAAATATAGGTTCAGTTTAAAATGCAAAACCTTACATATATCTCTAAGTAATTACGTATAAGTTCATCTCCTAAGAACCTAAGGCCTTGGATAGATGGGAGTAACATTAGGTAATTACCTTTATATTATGGTACAATTTTATCCATTCAATCCATCAAATTCATTTCTATTAAGATGCCATGATAAGCAGCATGATATGGTTCCTATTCAAATTATCCATATTGGTATCAGAAATTGTATATATGGACAGCTTGTAAGACTTAATGGGCTATGATGTAATTTGTGTATATGTTAAGAGATGATTTTCTTTGAAATTTATTTGTTCTCAATCAAATATTACAATCTAAATGAACTAGTTTTTATTACCAAATTACGTTTCTTTGTGTCCATCCCTATATAGATGATGTACAATCAATTTTTGCATGCGACTTGTTACGTAAAAATATGAGTAAATCTACCCTGCAGAAAGATATTATGATACGAGAAAGAATTTTGATCAATCAAAACCCTCTCGTGAAGTTTGATACATATCAGGTCATTAGTGGTCGTGTATGTGTATTTGCACATGGTTCATACTTAACGCATTTGCGGCGTTTATTTAAGCCTTTAACTATCGATGATGAAGTGTGGGTGTTGTATGTGTTATTTCTCTTTTTGATCCCCATAACACTCTCATTATAAAGATTCTTTAGTAGACCTATTATTATACGGTTATAAGTGGGCAGTTTCTAAAATGAGAGTAAAGGATATATATGCCCTCTTTTAGGGACGCAAATTGATCGGATCATTATTAGATCCGAGATCCTATCCTATTTGGTCGAATTCGAATCACCCCTACTAATATCTTTGGATTGTATTCGAACCCCCCCCCCCAAGAAGATCCGATCCGATGTGTTATATATTTATAAATATATATAGTACATATATATGTTATTTATTTATTTATAAATATATTATTTATATTGTATTTTTATAAATTTGTTATATTATTTATTTTTTTATAAAAAAATGTATATATGTGTATGATGGAAATAATTAAAAAATATTTATATTTTTCTGTTTTTCTTTATTTAAATTGGTATATTTTATTTTTTTTTCTTTTTAATAATTTATTAATTTTTAAAGAAAACAAATCAGATTCGATAGGATTCGAATTCAGATCGAGTCCTATCAAATCCGATCGGATCTTCGGAATGGATCGGATCCGACCTGAATAGTGTAGGATCGGATTTGAATATACCCTGATTCTGATCCGATCCGTTTGCATTCCTAGTCTCTTTATGCCCACTATATGCTTAGACAAGGGGGGTAGAAAATGTCTTGTGAAAATTCTAGAAATAAGGGACATTCACTAAGGTAGTATAGATTGGTTACCACTTTTGTAATACCGATATATTGGTTAAAAGTTTTTCCTATATCATGTCTTTTTGGCATCATAGTCGAGCCCTAAAAATATATCCATTACAAGTTGTAAAGGAAAAATTAAAAGAAAGTTTTTTTCTAGTGAGCAGAAATTCATACTGATTCCTTGATTGGGTGGGGCTACAACATTACATTGAAGGCTTTGATTTGTGGTATAGCTAACCTCGTTAATTGTAACAAAAATGGATAGACATCAGTTTACACTTCGCACTGATCACTCCTTGTAACTTAGGATTAGTTGAATGCTTTAGCTATAAAGTGGGTTATGGAACTAATGATGAAACTTCACTCAGATAATATATTTATGGGCCCCATTGTATTTAAATACTAGCATGAAATCATATCATTGATTCCATAGCCCGCTGAACAGCTAAAGCGTTCAGCTAAACTTTGCTCCTTTATAACAGTTTCAGTAATGCATGCTCGGTAGACTAACGTTGTTGGACGGAAGTGCTGGTGTGTATATAATGCATTGCTTGGTAGAGTAATGGGTGTACCAACGACTAACGGTTTAGTCCTATTGATATAGCCCTATTGATAGCCAGGTCTGTCGGTCGTGAATGTTTTCTCTCCATGAGGACCCACTCAATTGGCCATGTCAGACCACGGGTATCGAATTGTCGATTCCCATTAGCAACGGATTAGCTGAACACAAAAACATACACACCCGACTGGACTATCTATCACAGCTGAATACTCGCGTCGTCAACCGTGATAGGTAGTTCGCGCGCATGTTTTTGTCTCCAGCTAATCTGCTTCCAGAAATAAAACAACCATGAACGTTAACTTCGGTCTCAAGAATGCCAACGTTTTTTTGCAGATTTGGAAATTAAAGATTTTACTTCCTCCAATTAATCATAGTAGCGATTTATATATAGTAATTAATAATACCGAGGATCTATAAACAACAGCTAGGACAATTACAACTATTATATATTTAACGCCCCGGTTCCAGTCAAATCCCCATGAGGAATATAGAGCCCATTTACTCTCCTTTGGTCTGTTCTTTTCATTAATTACCTATTTTTTTGAAGTATGGTGAAGGAGAAAAGGCATAGCTTGGGCCGCCGGAAGATACAAATAGCCAAGATTACAGACAAAGATCGATTACATGTTACTTTCTCAAAGCGCCGTGCAGGATTGTTCAATAAAGCATGCGAGCTCTGTATCTTATGCGGTGCAGAGGTCGCTGTAATCGTCTTCTCCCCAGCTGGTAAGGCGTTCTCCTTCGGCCATCCATTTGTGGACTGCGTACTAGATCGCTTCCTTTCCCAGAGCTCCGCTCCAGAAATCTGTTCACACCCTCTGGTAAATGCTAAAAGTGGGGCTGGCGCTATGTCTGAGTGCAGCCAACGGTATATGGCGGTCCTTAGCCAATTGGAAGCTCTGAAGATGGGAGGAGAGACGACATTGGACCCATTGAGCACAGGACAGTTCTGGTGGGATTCGCCTATTGGCAATCTTGGGTTGCATGAGCTCGAGAAATTTAGGGCAGCCTTGGAAGAGCTGAAGAAAAACTTGATAATGCGAATGAATGAGCTGCTGATTGGGTCTTCTTCTCAATCAGGAGCATTCTTCAATGAGAACTGTGGTGAGGTGATTGATGATCCACTTGCTTTTCTTACACCGAACTATTTTTCGCCTATTGGTCCTTTCGATTTTGGCTCCGGATATGGACCTTTTTGAAGGAAGCTATCGTCTCTAGTTTAAGTGAGGACTTAAATGTCTTTGGTTGCACCTATACTTTTCTTTTTTTATTAAAAAAAAAAAAAAAACAACAACAACTTCTTGGCTTGGGAGATGGTATGCGGAATGTGCATGAAGTAAAGCGGTTGTTATCTTCTGCTAAATTATGTTTCTTTTGGCTTTGATCAAATTATTTAAATAATTTTAGATATTGAATGTTATAATTTGTCATCTTTCTCTCGTGCATTAGGAAGAATTACACAGAGAATAACTGAGAAAAAAAAAAGTAAACTGAAATTTGAGAGAAACTTCTCAAGGAATTAATTAATTTCACATATTTTATTAATAACTTTCCCTGAAATTTCTATTTCTCTGTTATTTTCTGTATTACCAAACCTAGCATTAAGGGAACGCAACAGAAAAGCTTTACCGTTCATTAGCTGTTTTTGTCTTCACCCCCCCCCCCCAAAAAAAAAAAAAAAAAAAATTAAAGAGGCGAGGTCCTTTGCTTGAAGCTCAAATTGGGTTGAGTAATAAATATTATATCCTTGAATGTTTTATTATTCAAGCTCTTACCAAGAAGGACTTTTGCTAGCCAGCTCCGGCTTCATCTTGAATTGTGTTCTGCCTGAGGACGGAACTTGGGTGGGTTGAGTTTACTTTTTTATTGGGCTTGGGCCTTCTGACTGGACTCACTGACTTTTTGATAAAACCCAACTTGCGCCCACCCGAGTAGGCGAGTAGCATACACTTAACAAATAACAACACAGCCATACTAGTAATTTACTCACGCAAGTACATTAGCCACTCAAACCCTCAACCTTTTTTTTTAAACGCCTAAGGGCAACTGGGGTCGCCGCATAAACCGACAACCTCCGATTTGAAAGACTTAAAAATGAAAATGCTTCTCCACATTGAATCCACATGCACGTGAGAGGATTATTTTGCTGCCCATCCGAGGGCCTTTCATGGGTGATTCTGTTTTAACGATTTCGACATTGGTGAAAACGGGAAAAGATAGAGAGGGGGCTTAAGGGAGGGAGTGGGGATAAGTAGGGGTGTCAATTGACTGGTTTTGGATTGGATCCAAATCTTTTCAAGTCAGATATGGATAGTCCATTATAGTTATTGGGTTGGGCCAACCCAAAATAAAATCATCCAAACTCTTATCGGTTTGACTCGGCCCTAGACCAAAACCCCAATAGTTTGATTGCCGAACCCTATTGCATCAGCGGCAAGAAGACTATCGGTGAAGGCAGACGTATTCAGCTTCGGAATTGTGGTCTTGGAGTTGATCAGCGGCTAGAAGAACTCCACGTTTTACCTTGACATGGATTGCCAAAATCTACTAGACTGGGTGAGGACTCCAACTTGCACCAACATCCTCTACCATAACTTGCAGCAGGGTCTATAATTGTATTGTATGAGGGTGTCCTCATCTGTGATGCCATGCCCCTTCCCTTATGAAGGGTTTCGAATCGAAGGGCGGAACTCGGAAGGGGGCCTCGCTCGCATCACATGAATCAGTCACAGAGTCACTTCACCATGAGATGATGAAGGCGACGCCGTGAGCCTTCAGCCATACTCGACAGTTGAGACCACCCGAATTCGCTCAACTTCTGAAATCAATGTTGTCATGATCCGACCAGGAGACCACCCGGGTCGGTTTGAATCTTACAACATTGTTTAAATTGAACGATGACAGCCTGCCAGGGCTACGGCTGACATATTGGCGTATTGGGTACAACCAACCGTACGTATGGAGTATATGCAATCCTGTCAATGTCATGAACAGTAACACCCCCCATTCGGATGCTTGATCACGTGAACACTGTTGAAATGTCAAATAGCTCCAACAACGTGGTCATTTAGTTTGGATCGGTCCATTGTCATTTGGGAGAAGTACCAATCAGCCCATATCAGAATTCTCTTGCCCCAAAGTACAGGGGAATGCATCCTGACCGTGAATTGATGTCAACTTCATGGGCAGGATGTGGTTTATTGGGGGCAGAGGGCTAGTAGTAGGGGGGGCTGGAATTCAGAATTCTGCATCGTATGTTTTTGTACTTCTCCCTTTTCATTTTAATTGGACCGGACTGAATCCAATTTGTATGGGATTTGGACCGGATTTGGTTCAATGATGGACTGAATCTGATTGGACCAAATCCAATCGAATTGACAGCCTTAGGGATAAGAGAATGAGTGAAGTGACTGATTAAGATAACAAGTGTAAGGACTGATTTAATTAATGTAGTCAAGAACATGGAGGTTCTAATATAAAGGAAAAAACTGTTATGTTCACATAAGAAAACATGAGAGATTATAGGAGATGTTAGTCATCGAGAAAATATGTTTTTCTAAGACTCCATTTGGTTTGTGGGAAGATTTGGGTGGGATGGGAAAATATGGGATGAGATGGGAAGGTGTAAAAATTTAAGTTTCCATTGTTTGGTTTTATATATGGGAAAATAGTAGAAAAAATAATGTCACGACCTGGTTCTTCGCTGGATTCATGTAAGATGGAGAAGAGAGCTCCATGACTGCAACTCCCCTGCTATCTTCGACAAAGAGAGGAGTTGCAGTGACCTAACGATAAAGGGAGGAAGACGAGAAGAATGCGAAGAAGAAGAAGGTGAGGGATAAGAGAGAAGAGAGAGAAGAGGAAGATGGAGGGAGAGATAAAGAACATGGTTTGGTTCGATGGTAACAAATCGCCGCCTCCTCTGTTCGATGGTAGCAGATCGTCGTTGCCCCTCGCATTAGTTCTCTTGCCACCGTCGCCTCCTTTCTTCGAACGGGGAAGCCAATGAGTTATGGTTCAATGGTAACAGAGGAGAAAAACGAAAACGAAGGAGAAGAAGAGAGCAAGAGAGAGAGAATGATGAAGGGAAAGGGACCGTCGTTGGTTCCTCGTCGCTGGTACGTTGTCGCTCTCGAGTTTTCTTGAGTTTTCCCACCGGGGTCGCATTGTTTTGGTGTGATCCCGATTACACAATTTTGGGATCTTGCATCCTACGTTTTTCTCATCCCATCCCACCATTTCCCTCGAAAACAAATTAGCAAAAAAGGAATATTTTGGAATATTCCCATTTTCTCATCCCCATCCCATAAACCAAACGGAGCCTAAGTGACTAAGTGAGATGATGCTTATAGTGAAGATGATCTCTCTCTCTCTATTCGTCGCCAACAAATTGCCAAAAAAATGAAGATGGCATTTGTCCCTCTATCTCTCTCAAGAGTGTGTAACCCAAATTAAATTAAACAAAATTCATTTTTTTCTTTGGATTCACACCGTTAAGGCCCATACATTGTTAAAATTTAAAAATAAATTCCTGATTAGTACCCTGTACTTTGGGCCTAGTGCCACTTTGGTCCCCGAACTTTAAAATGCGACAATTCAGTACCCGAACTTTTAAAACATACAATCCAATTATGGATTAATAACATTTTTTTATTTTATAATTAATAATTAAAAAATAATAGTAAATTTATAATTATAATTAATAATATTATTTATGAATTAGTAAATTTTATAATTCTTGATTTATAAAAATATTACTATTATTAATAGTAATAATAGTTAGTCTAATAATCAATTTAATTATTCATGAAACATTTATTGATTTTTAAATTTTAGTATTAATAAGTTAATTAATTATTATTGGTAATTAACTAATTTGTTGATAATATATCACTTATTAATTAATCAGGAATTATTAATATATCACTAATATTAATTACTAAAAACAATAATATGTTTTGATATTTACTAATTAATCCTTAAAAGAATTAATTAATTTTAAAAAGCTATTAGTAAATTGTTGACAATATTACTAATTAATCCCATAAATATTATTAAAATAGAAATGTTGTTTGAGAATTTGTAATTAATCACAAAAATAATTAATTTATTTTGGTATGAGTTATAATAAAATTAAATGAAATTATTAATCATAACCAATACGCAATATACCATTCAAAGTAAATGGATTGGATTAATGAAAGCCAAACCATGCCCGATCCAAAAAACCACACCACTTTAGTTAAATGGATCAAAGAGAGAGATGAGTTGAGCTATATATTTTAGGTAATATATATTGAGTTAATTAGGAAATATAGATAAAGGGTGCTGAATTGGCTTAATAGGAGTGGTGTGGGAAGGGGAGATGATAGAGAAAGAGTCAAGGAAAATGAAGATTGGGGTAATGGAGCAAGGAGAGGCATGATGACAACTTGGATCATCTTGCTATAGATAGATAGATAAATAAATTATTGAATTTTAATATAAAGTTCAATAAGATTAAGTGATTGGGATTCAAATTGATGAAGGGTGATTTGGCACGACGTATTAAGAAGGGGATACGTAGATGCGATCTGCTTGAGGGGTGACAATTCAGCCAAACGAACCCGGCCCGCAACATTCGGAGCTCGAATGTTCAGCCACCCCAGCCCAAAAACCACCTCGGCGTAGAGACACATCGACACCCAATTCAGTTCGGGACTAAAGAACCGAAGTACCAATTCGGAGCTAAAGAGCCAAAATACCACGTAATCGACTCGAAAGGCCTCCCCAATGGACCTCGAATTTCTCGGATCACGACGAGACTCATCCTAGTTCTGCCTTAACCGGAGGTAGACGATAAACCTTATCAACACATTGCTCTCCTTCAAAAAATGAACATATCTTACCTGCACAGCCCGGAGATCCCGAAGCTCTTTCGTAAGGCCCACGACTACACCATTATATAAGGACATAAAACCCAAAGGCAAAGGTACACGTGATTATTTTGCTCACTAGCATTCAAGCACTCAAGTATTCAAACTTGCATCCATAGTATAGTACTAACTTAAGTATCGAAACGACCTCACTGGATTGATTATCCCGGGTTCTCTGATCTATTATTTTGTAGATTGGTCCAACTCACTATGCAACTGGAATTCGGATCATCTTCCGGTTAAGAGTATCTAAATCGTGCATCATTACACATAAAATTATATATTTTTCCACTTATTAATTTATAGTTAATCTTTAAATTTAGTTTAATAGAATACATATACAAATATATACAAATAGTACGAAATACAAGATTTTGCACTCCATATATTTGGATTTATACTCCTTCTGAACCGAGCCGTATGTACAGTTTTTTGAAATTCAAATTATCCTGGTCCGAATAAGGCATCATGAAATTGAAATCCATGTTCTATAGATCAACTGGCATTAATCGAATTTGATATCCGAATTCGATCTGATCCATTGTTGGTCATACGGGTTTGGTAAGATACACATACCCGATTCTATCACAAGACATTTACTAGCGTAGATCTATATAAATACTCTTGATTAGACCGGAACGAATCAAGTTCTACCTCTTTATTAATAAATACATTCAGGCCTGACCTGAGCCCGTACCTCCTATAAACCAGAAGCTATTAATTGCTAATTAATCTTAAGTTTACAAACCTGAAATCATAAACGTAACCTTTTCGGGCTACTCGGGTCAGGGCCGTAAACTTAACTTTTTTTCCGGCGAGAAATTTAGGTTTATACAACATGATTTGAGCAATTAATCTTATTAGTAACGCTTGAATACGTCTTTTATGCCGGGATGATAATAGGGCATGTACGGAGAGGGTTTTGTAAATTACAGATGCTATTCGCCTATTTAAACATCTCAATCTTTATTTGCTCTAAAATTCGTAGTGGATTGGGTTTTTGAGAATCTAAACCCTTATACTATGTGAAAATGCAAAACCCTCCCCGGCCTTATTTTTTTTCTATTTAAGGGTAAGGTCGGGTTGGATTTAGAACCTATATCTAATTTTCTATTATTTCTTATCATATATAACCAATAAATAAGTAAAATAACATATAAAATTTTAAATTATTTGATTAAGACATTTAGAAAACACATAAACTATCAAATTATCAATTATCCTTCACGTAAAATTTGAAATATTATTAAATTCAACACTTAGTACATAAAATTTTATGCATTCCAACAATTTGCGAGTCGGGGAGGAGCAGGTTTAGCTTAATATCATACCCTACTCATACCCGTACGTGTTGTAGAATCCCAAAACCCATAATTCAAACAAAAACTCCGCTCCATCAGAGATGGCATGCATGGGTATCGAGTAGGGTAGAAATTAGGGGTGTTCACGGGTCGGGTTGGGTCGGTTTATTGGGGTTTTCCCAACCGACCCGACCTAGTCGGGTTACCTGAGGTGGAAACCGAAACCGACCCACTGATACGCCAAACCGACCTGGTCGATTTGAATCGGGTTGGGTCGGTTTCGGTTTTGCTCTTGTATAAAATGACACCTAATTGAATTCTAATTGTAATTGCCTATTTGGTGTAAAAGATTATAGAAAGTTAGAAAATATGATAGATTGCCTGTTCTAATTGTAATTGCCTAATGGGCCTTCTAGTTCTAGTAGAAGACTAGTTATAGTTAAGTAGGAAACTACTCAAACAAGGAACTACGGTTCGGGTCGGGTTGGTTTCGGTTTTCACACAAAAAAAACCGAAACCAACCCGATATATCGGTTTATATATTTTCCCAACCCGAAACCGACCGGTACTGATGAAAACCTGGCCGACTCGGGTTGGTCAGTTTGGTCGGGTTGGGCATTCTTATGAATAGCCCTAGTAGAAATTGCCATCCCTAGTTTTATGCGTCTACAAGACTACAAATTGGTTGAACTGAACCATTAGATATTTATAGGGATGCTCACGGTTCGGTCAACTGAACCGTGGGGCTTTTTTTGGAACCAAAATGGTACTATCGGTTTTTGGAAAACCGGTAATCAGAACCGAATCAAAGCTAGTTGGTTAATCAGTTGACCGGTTTGATTCATCGGTTGTTTAATTTTTGTGATAAATATTATAAGAATATATATAAATATAAAAAAAATATATATATATATATAAAATATTATATTTTAAATAATAAATAATAAATAATATATTTATATATAATGCATATTTATTATTTTATAATATATAAAAATATAAAATATATATAATATACATAAATATATAAAATATATAGAAATATATTTATATTGGTCGATACCGCCAGTTTTCTATATTGGTTAATCGAAACCGAACTGATACTTTCAGTTTTTAAAAAATACTGGACCGAAACCAAATCGATCGATTTGATTAACCGATTTTTTGTTTTTTTTTTCAGCCCTAATATTTAATAGTCCAGGGCCCAATGTTTTACTTCACCAATCCATCTACTACATTGTCCTCCAGATGAACGGTTAGAGTTGCGTAATGACGAGGTATGGGGTTCATCGTAGCCCACTTATCTTGCAGTTCGTTCCATTCGAACAATTGCCTTGTTCCCGTAGCACTATCTCCTGAAAACAATATCATGTACACACCTGAGAGAACTACATCTCAAATATCGCCCGGACTTATATGTTAAATTATGGGAAGATATACTCTATTTACGGCTGGAAGCTGTGCTCTCAGGGTGTGTACACGATTGTTACTTCGAGGAGATACCATTCTTATCCCTCGCCCTCTCTCATAAAAAGGCTCATTGGGAGATTAGGGTTTTATTTCTTCGGCCGACTGCTGAGTCCTTCGTTTCTCCTTCTCCAAGGTTTTCTCTAATCTCCTCTCGATCATGGCTGAACAGGTTAGATTCGTCACTTAACGGTTTTTAGTCTTCATGTTGCCATTAGGTTTTCTGTAGGAACGTTCTCGAACGTGGTAATCCCACTGTTTTCGTGTTTTCCATTTTTATTTCCGTCGTGTTCTTCTCATGGTTGAAGTGGTTCACCAGTTTCGGTCGTTAAATGCCCCTTTTTTGTTTTTGTTTTTTAATTTTGTATGCAGACGGAGAAGGCATTTTTGAAGCAGCCGCATGTGGGCATAAGGTGAGACTAATTGAAAGAACCTACTTATTCTTGTATCAAAATCCGTTTGTTCTAGTTTTGAGTTGTTGCCTGGTTTTCACTGTATCAAAACGTTGCAGCTCGAAGAGAACTGGAAAGGGGAAAAGGCCCGGAAAGGGTGGAAATCGTTTCTGGAAAAGCATTGGATTGGGGTTTAAGACTCCCAGGGAAGCCATCGAAGGTTCGATCTCTTCTTCTTTATTGTATGATGGCTTCTGATACGGAAAATACTGATCCAAGACCAAGATGTATAGAGAATAAGTGTATAACATCTCCAGATCTATGTATCTATGGTACATAAGCACGGGATAGCGTCCACATGGTGTGAAATTACGTTAGGGCTCAATTAGGTCTTATCATATTCTCGTCTATTCCCCATTTTTGTTATTGACTTCTTATAATGTCTAGAAACCTGAAATCGTTAACTTTTCCCTTGGTGGCTATTAATTGCTTATTTATGTTATATGAACCATAAATTTGATGCGAATAAAGAGGCTTCTAATAGGTCTATACCATGTACTTGTATTAATCCAGGTTGGGCTTGGATATCTCTTCGTTCTGGCAGCTATGCTAGTTATGATATGTGTATACTTGCTGCTTAATTATAATCTATGGACTGCTTTGTAGACCATTTCGAGGTGGAATGGGAATTTGTTCACCTGTTCTAATTTATTTCATACTGTCCTGGTCCTGGGACTATGCCAATTTGTTTTGATGCTGTTGATGTTTGTTTTGCATCATGGTACGTTCAATGCCATTGCCTGCTGCCGTATTTCTTTTGGAGGTGAAAAATGAAATGGAGTTTTCCTTTGCACCGGGCCACCGGCCTTGTAGTTATCGGCATAAATGTTGAATTTGATGGTGTTCAACTTTGTTCTCTGTAGCTTCAATTGATTGGTGATTCTAGTTGCAAGAAGATAATAATCTCTGTTTTTTCTTTTGAGTACCAGCAATCCAAGGTCAATTGCTAAAGCAAGTAGACAATCAATGCTAACATCCTTTGTGGTGATTTAACTTGTATGTGTATGGCCAAAAACTAGGGCCGTTATGTTTGATTTTTATCATATCTTCTTTTACATTGTGATGTTTAGGTTTTGCTGCATGTAATTCTTGATGATGCTTGACATTTGTAATGATTTCTCTCATACATTACTGCGGTGTTAATGTCAATATAACTTGTTCTGATCGTTCTCATCTGTGTCAATAATCCTATTAATTTGATAGGTGCAGTCTATTGTTATGTCATGAAAGGTTACTCTTGAATTCCTCTTCCAACCAATGCCATCTTATGTCTCATAATTGCATACCTCATCCTCTTATTCTTCTTGCTTTTAACCTTTCAGCACCCTTCTGGTGGAAAAAGGTTCTTTCATTTAATCAATTACAAAATGTTTCTCTTTAGTTCAGAACCTATTGTTTCTAAGACCAAGGTTTAATGGAAATTGTCTCCCGTTTGGACCTATAGTTTCATTAAAGAATATTGATGCCTAAAAAGTACCCTTGCTGTCATAGCCTTTAATTCATATATTTGACGGTTGACATGGTCTCTCCATTAATCCTATTTGTTGATTTGTGTGTCTGGCCCCATGTTATTGCAGGATTTGTGGTATTGCATAGTTTGTATGCCATGCACTCACTCTGCTATTTCCTCACCACTATTTCTTTGAAGCTGTATTTAGTTTGATAGAAAAATAGGGAAAGGAGGGGAAAAGAAGGGAAAGGTATGGAAACCTATAGGTTTCCCTGCATTTTTTTGTAAAACAAACACTGCCTTGTCTCATGATGATCCCTTGCCCAACAATTTATATTCTCTGAACATTGTGATGTGACTTGAACAATATGGAGCTGATCCTTACAAGAAATTATGAACCCTTGAAATGTCCTACAGCTGTTCAAATTTTCACTTTAAACTTTAAGCTCTTGTTTACATTCATTTTCTTTAAAAATGCTGAGACCATGTTGGTTTTTTTTTTGCAGGAACCTATATTGATAAGAAATGCCCTTTTACTGGCAATGTTTCCATTAGGGGTCGTATTCTTGCAGGCACTTGCCATAGTGCTAAGATGATGAGAACCATTATTGTCCGTCGAAACTATCTTCATTATGTTAAGAAATACCAAAGGTAAGTTACTGAACAACTCCAAGCTTATATGATATTATATGATGATGACCTTATTGTGAGGAAGCTGATGGGTTACTGAACTCGTGACTGGATAGATATGAGAAGAGGCATTCCAATATTTCTGCTCACATTTCTCCTTGCTTCCGTGTGAAGGAAGGTGATCACGTTATCATTGGCCAATGCAGGTAAATGCTTAGTAACCTTGGTATATCATATATAAGCAATTTTATTATAATGTATTTTTATTTTGCAGTATTCATTGATAGTTTTGTATCTTTGCAGACCGTTGTCCAAGACTGTGAGGTTCAATGTGTTGAAGGTCATTCCTGCAGGATCTTCTGGTGGCGGTGGGAAGAAGGCCTTCACTGCTATTTGAAGTTGATAGTCTGTTATTTGTTACCCTGCTTTTGGCTGTTAGAACTTGGAACATTCCCCTAGAGTTTTAGATATTGTAGATGAGCAATTAGTGACAGGTCCCTTGGACGCGGTTATGATTTCTTTGGAATGGTAATTTTAATATTTTGGTTTTGGCGGACGGGATGCTTCCAGTATCCGTTTTTGTTTTGAATTTTAAATCGACATCAATGAAGTCTAAAGAATTGTTTGAAGGTGCACTATACCGTTAATTTTTCCCTTTTATTGCTTGAAGCTATTTATTATTCATCCCCTTCCCATTCTGGGTCAGATTGTTATATAGTCGGCCAATGAAGCTGATTACTGATGCTTTGGAAGTGTTGTCTTAGGTTTGTTCATTTTAACTTTTTTCTGAAACGTTTCTTCTATTTTCAATTTTGACCGATAACAAAAGCACCCGTTAATTTAAGGTCCTTTTACATGTTACATCACATTTGGCTGCAAAGTTTCATAAACCCAAAAGGAGCCGCGAAGAAAATAAACACTAATGGGTTTTTGAGAGTTGTGGAAGATTGAAGATTCATTTGTTGGCCGGGACGTCGACCAAGCATAACCGGGAGGAAGAAAGGCTGTAAAGTGTAAACCAAATATAAGCTAGCCTGCCAAAACGAATAGAGATGGTTCCTTGCATGGAATCCCGTTCACACCTAGGGCAGGGGTTGCCTTTTTTAACCAGAAAGAGATGTTACTCCCTTTAATAATCTATTTGAGTTTTATTCAAACTAGAACTTTTCAGAACCAAATCCATGTTTTAATAAAAAATTCCACCATTTAATCTTCGACTTTTTTCCCAATCCAATTTTACGCTCTTCTATTACAAATAAATAAAATCGGGCTGCAGACACAAAAGAAAGTCCATCCCTTCTTGGTTGGGGATTCTTATTTTATCTTATATGTATGCATCACGGAAAAAAAATTGGTCATGCTAGCTTTTGCAAAATTAAATTTTCTGCGAATGTTTGTCACTGGATCATCCTTCTGAAGCCTAATCCTCCTTTTTTTTTGGGTTTTCTAATCTTGTCCCAAGCAATTGTGTGGGAGCCCTGCTTTGAGGAACTACCCTTCCACCAGATTTTCTTTTTGCAGTTTTTTCCATTTCTATAAGACTTTCTTTGGGTAGGAAATTTGAAGACATCTGGTAAATTGGTAGTTCTTGATCAATAGATTGTACCATGGTAGATCTTCGTTCATATGAAAGGAGGTTGGCTTTCCACATTAATAATTTGTCTTAGTTTCTCCACTAGATTTAAATAAGCTTGAGTTTTTTTTGGTCTCCCAATCCATAATCTGATTCCAAGTTATTTGTCATTTGTTTCACTCCAAACATGTAAAGAATAAATCTTCTTTTCCTTCTATGAATGCTGGAGATATATAAGATTGAGCTTTTTTGAGGATTTATTTTTTCCCTGATATTGATTCAAAATGACTTAGAATATGCTTCAAGTTTTCCAAACAACTGGAGAAGACTGGACGAGAGTTCTTTGATAGGGAAATGCCTCTTAACATCCCTTGCTCTTCAGCACTTTGCAACAAGGAATTGCATTGACAGTATGAACAAGTATGGGGAGAGGGTGTCTCCCCCTTTGAGTGGCAGTTTTGGGGCCCCGATCTGTTTTGGACTTTGTACAATCAACTGGAAAAGACATTTTACTCTTAGCAGGTTTTAGCCCGTAAACCTGAACCTTATTTTTGGAATGATACAGCTTTTGATGGTTTTATCAAAGGGAAGGTGTAAGCATTTGCTAGAAACCTCAGTGGAGGTATATATAAGTCTTTATCCCTTGTTTTTTCCTGTTGTGATCCGTGGCTACTCTCCTTTGGCAGCGCAGCTCTCGTGAATTGTGGTCATGGTATATGATTTGTTTCATTGCATCTTTAAAGCTCTGCCCTCTGCCGATTGCATCTTAGACGCCGATTCTGGTGGAGTTATTTCATGCCAGAGGAATTGAACCAGAAGCTACCGATAAGAGGAAATGAATTTGAGGCGCAAGGGTGATCCAGATGGAATAGTCCTGGCCCAAAGCCCAAGCAGGAAGCAGTGTAAATTGTTTATGGGCCAAGCTCGAGTCTTGGCCATGAACAGGTCTACCTCTCGTATACTAGTGCAGTGTGGCTAAACAAAATAACAAACACGGGCCTAATCCTGAGTGTGGAGGAACGCTTGTTCCTGCAATGGAATAACAAGGATTGGAATTTAAATGGCGATAAGATGTGAAAGTAGATGTGCGAAAGATTGCTTATTTCTTGTGGTTCTTGAGAAAAAAGAGATTCTGCGTGATTTAAAAGTGTTAAAGAAACCTGAGCCTCTAAGGCCTATCATGAGTATCTGAAGCCTGAAGATTCATTTGAGGATCCACCCATCGACCTAAGCATGGAGAATGGTGGTGAAATAATAGCTGAAGTACCGTGTGTACATATATTATATTAGTGGTGACCCGTGTGATGCAGCGATGCTGTATTTCTACTTTTCTTATGTGTAAAATAGTAGAAAAGGTTTTCATTTCTTTTTCAGTTATTGGACTTCGAACTTTTCTTTCTATATATAGCTTATATATTATGAGAATCACATAAACCAACCCATACCTTATGGGTTGGGGCAAAGGGCTATACCTCCCATTGTGTTGCCCTATAAAGCCAAAAATTGTGTTTAGTATGAGATTAATAATCAAGTTAAAAAAAAATTCAAAATTGAACCGATGAAGATAAGATAAAATTCACATTAAGTTCTTTCTTACTACATTTTTTTATTGAACAAATCTACATTAAATTAAATTAATAAAAACAAAGGGAAAAACCTGAACCCAAGGAAAGGAGCAAAATAGAGGACACATTAATTTCTGTCCAAGCTAAGGTTCATATTTGGTTGACCCTTAACCTAACCGAACCCATCTAATTTACATACTACTTTATTAGAGAGAGCCAAAAGGGATTTAAGATAAAAATAAGGATTTAATGGGCAGGGGAGATGCTACAAAATTTGACTATTAAGGCGTGTATATGAGTGAGAGAGAGAGGGTGTATATGTATAGATTTTATGAGAGAAAATAAAGACCCATGAGGTTTTTAATGATTTAATATAAAAATAAATATGCACATGTGTGAGACATGAAAAGAGGAAGAGGTACTCATGAGCCCTGTGGTTAGAGGACCCTCACCTCCCCTCCTTCCTCTTTCTATTATACATATAGATACCAATATATAAGACATTATATATACATTTAATATTTTGTATCTAAAATCATAGGCCAGAGAGACATGGTAGATTAGTAAAGGGCTGCTTAGTTCTTACAAAGTTATGATAATCTTAAATAGGGATAGCAATGGGTCGGGGACTGGGTTCTAGGAGCGTTTTGTAAATTTTAGACCCTATTTGTCTCCATACGCCTCTCAACCCCTACCTGATCCATAACCCATAACGGGTTGACTTTTGAGAATCTAAATCCTCCCCACACATGAAAATGCAAAGTCATCCCCAACCCTATTTCCCCGCATTCAAGGATCGGGTGGGTTGGGTTTAAAATCCATATCTAATTTCCTATTATTTCTTGTTATATATAAGCAATAAACAAGTACAATAACATAAACAAACAACATTTCCAATTATTTATTTAAGACATGTAAAAAACACAAACTATTAATTATCCTTCACACAAATTTAAAATATTATTAAATTCAACAACTAATAAATAAAGTTCATATGATTTTCAACAAGCAATAATATGTGGGTCTGATTTATCCTAATACTATACCCTACCTGTATTCATAAGGGTTGTAGAATCCCGAAATCTGTCCCCCCCTAAAATCCGTCCCTAAAAAAAAAGAAATCACCCCACCAGGACAAATACGCAGTGAGTGGGGCAGAAATTGTCATCCGTAGCTGAGAACATTTTAGATGGATCAGAAGTGAACCATTCAAATCCACTCCGTGCTTTCTAGTGGCTTGAGAATAAAGCCTAGTTTGGAAAGAGGGCAAATGCAGACATGCTCAGTTCCAAACCTTGTATACTCTTTAGTTTTGTTATCAACCAGCCGATGGTTGCTTGTAAATTTTCTGGCTACTTATGGGGGAGACTTGGAATCAAATCCCACTGACACCAGCATCGGGGATGGACTACCCCTGTTATCTAGCCATATGAACCCAAAAAAAAATCAATAGCTTTGAAAATAAACAACAGTTATCAATTAAAGTTTAAAGAGTTAATATATTGTTTACGATAATCACCTATTTCAACAATGTGAACTATAGAAAGAACAGAAATTCCTTTAAGACTCGGTTTGAAAAAAATATAAATAGAAATATGTAGGATGCAAATACAAAATATAAGGTTTGCACTGTATATATTTATATTTATACTCTTAGCAAACTGAGCCTTCTGCTCAACTTTCTATTTTTTTTCTTATTTGCCATCTCAAACCATATATAGCTTTATGGAGCTGTATTTTTCCTAGAGTTGTGGGTTGCGGAAAATGAAACCCAAATACACATCATGTTAACAAAAACATCCCCTGCTATTCTGTGATTAAGAAATACCATATATCCCTTACCGGAATTTGCATGAGCGCAACTTCCCTTAGAGGTTGGCACATCCTTTATAGGTGCATACATAAATATGCATATAAATAGTGGCATGCACTCATGAATTGATGTGTCTAGCTCAAAGCTCAAGTTGGTTTGAAGTTGGCCAAATAAAGCCTCAATTTTAACACAAAAAGATTGTTGAATTGGGTTCCAGTTGCCCTAAAGGGGACTACGCAAATTGCATTTCTAAATTCTAGCTATGTGGGAAATTTGTGGAGGAAATTGTATGTATATGTCAATGTCTAAAAAATTGACATGTAAAGGAAATTGCTTTTCCAGGTGATGGGTTAATCGTCCAACCATCTATATCAAATAGGTTATCTTTTGATATCATAAACCATTTAATAAAAATCTAAAAACTGACAAAAATACAAAACGTTTGTAAAAGTATATATATATATATATATATATATATATATTGAGTGTCAGTTGATCGATTTGACTGAAGGGGTTAATAATGGGTCTATGTTCTTCTTTCTAGGGAAAATTCCATATCAGTACTCTATATTTTGGCTTGAGTGATAATTTGGTTCCCAAACCTTAAAATGTGACAATCCAATATTCAAACTTTCAAAATATGACAATCCACTACAGAAATATCTATGGACATATTTTTGTTTTAAATTTACAAAACCATGACAGTGAT